TTTCAGGTGCCCTGTTTGAAAGTGGTGGGGGCATGTGAACAATATGATAAAATACAGGTAAAGTCCTGTTCTTTTGGATGACAATGGGTTTTGCTCCCTTGGACTTTGCAGACACCTTCAAAGAGAGTGACTGTGGAAAGCAAGGATGAAAACTCCTTTCGGAAGATGCTGGGCACTTCAGGCAGCAGGGCATCTGTCAAGAGCTCCCCAGGAAGCACAGCACCCAGCAACAGGGTAAACATTCCGGCATCTCCCACCTCATCAACGCCTCACAGAGCAGGTTTATTGGAAAATCGGTACGAGCTAACATTCTTTTTCGCATGCAGTTGTCAAAACTTGATACTAGTCCCATGGACTGTCTTAATGTCCTGCACATATAAGTGCGTACCAGCCGTTTTCATTTTTCCCCATAAACTTAGCAAGCAGGTTCAGCAGTTTGTCTCCCAGCTTATGGCTGCTGCTGGTATTTGTGCTCTGGGAATAGCCTGAAAGAGCTTTGTGCACAAAATCCTTCTCTATATGTTGTATTTTAAAACTGAATGTTGTGGCACATTGGTAGGAAGTGCAGAGAATACATAGGGCATGTGTGTGGAGGAGAGAGGATTGCCATCTTGTATTGGTTCGTTAAATGTTTTCCCCCCACTCTATTAGTGAAAAGAGGAAAAGAGCACAGCCTTCTGGTTCAGAGATGAATGAAGATTATCCTAAAGAGAATGATTCTTCAACGTAAGTTCTTCCCAGTGTCCGACTTGCCTTCTTCCTTCCCTTGTCCACCGCCCCATGAAGAGAGGGCTTGCTAAAAAAAAGTATCCAGCTATATCCCTTTGTCAGGATGGCACCATATTTGAAGTTAGCCTCATAAAACTGCTGATGTTTTATACATCTGGAAAAATGGGTAAGGCTGTGAAATTCAGCCTTGTCTAAGGCAATCTGGTACGTACAGTTAGTATGTTTGACTTCTGTGTAAGTTGATCACTAACTGAACACATCTTCCATGATGCTGTTGAACACTGAATATTACCTAGGTCTTTGCTGTTCAGTAGCAATCTGCACTTGCTAAGCAATGGGTAGCTTGACAAGCTTGAGCTTTGACTTGTAAAAAGTCATAGCACAAGGAGCAGGGAGGGCATTTCATACAGCAGAGCTGAGGGCTGTGTGGGTAACATGATAGTGATGGGGCGTGTGTAATTAGCAGCTGCTGCAGTTCACCTCCTCCATGGTTCATTTTAACAGTCAATGAGAGTTAAATATTTAAAAAATATATGAAAAGCACAAACCTGACCCAGAATACGCCTGGGTTTCTCACTGCTGCTCTGACTTCAGCTCTCTTTTACCTTTAGCAATAACAAACCTATGACTGACCCAGCTTGGAAGTTTTTAAGTGGTAGCCGAGAGAAGCAGCTGAGCCTGAAACAAGCAGAGGAGAACAGGACGTCAGGTAAACAAGCGTTTCATATCTGAAAGATAGCCTTTTCCTTGGCCCTGGCAAGTGCAATTTTATCCTGCTTGCATTCATTTAGTGCTGCCGCAAATCGTTTTCCCAGCCTATCACTTTGACTAGGTCACTTCTCTTTTTTAGTCTCTACTGGCTCCCTGTCTGTCTTGCATCAAACATAAGCTTCTCGCCTTCATTTTCAAAGCCCTTTGTAGCCAGTCCCTCTTGTTTCACTGGCTGTTGAGTGGCTGACTTGTGTCGTTGGTCAGTCAAAAATGACAGCCTCCGCTTGTCCCCTTGTTGAATGCCTTCATGTTTTCCCCCTTACAGCCCTCATACTTTAGAGGAACACCTGGTAAACATCCCACAACTACCCTCGTGCTCCTCAGCACTCCCCTTGCTGCCATCCCTACAGAAAACCAAGACACCTTGTCATTATATATCACTGATGTGCTGATACCACTGTCTGTCACTTGTCTGATTTGTTTCCTTCTCTCCCCTCTACCCCACTCCCATTTATCTGACCAGCTGTGGGTTCTTGTCTTCTGTTTCATCACTAAACTCTTTGGGGTGGAGGATTGCCTTTTTTGGTTGGTGCTTGTATAGTCCCAGCCAGATTTAGGAGCCTGGTTCATGGTAAATGATCCTATGTTCTACAGTGACTTGAATAGTGAACATCTTAATCTTAATTAGGCAGCCACAAGGCTAACAAATGTAGTCCTTCTGCAGTCCTGAACATTGAGTACTATGATTCACAAAGAGGAGTGTAACCTAGGCCTCTGGCTTTGTGAAGAACAGTGGTGCAGAATTAACAGTGGAAAGACCCACAGCTTTGTAGCTCGGCTTGTGCAGATATTCCTCTGATGGAACAAATGAGGTAGATGTGATCTAACTGTGAAGAGTTTGGCTTTTAAAAGGCATCAGAATGAGAAGCTGAAATTTTGTTCATCTAAAGGTTGAGGTAACAGCAGCACAAACATCCTCATGCTATTGTTCATTTATCTTGGACTTAAGTCTACAGATGTGATAAAGGGTGAAGAGTAAGGCTAGCCATAGATGTAGCCCTTTGATCTAGCAGGACACTGGGTGTTGTGTTCCCTGCTTCCAAAGATGTGCCCTGGATATTGCTGGGGGCAGGTCTCTGGAAGCAGGGGAAGCCAGGCAGGGGCTCCTGGGACTTGAGGGGCCTGAATCTGAGCAAGAATTCCCCAGGTGTATGGAACTGGGCCCCTCCAGCCCTGGGAGAACCTGTCCCTAGGCGACGGGGGAGTGCAAGCACCTCCAGCTGCTCACACTCACTCACCATAAAGCAAATGTATGTCCACCACAATTAAGCAGCCCAGTTTATTGCAACCTGTCTCAGCCACACAGTGGCACACCAAAAGTTATGGGCATCTATTTATTGTTGGTTTGTGTCTCCACAAATTTTTTTGATGGTGGCACAAAGGCAATGGAAGGCAACGTCTCTTTCCACCCTAATCTACAATCTAAATAGATCTTGCTGTAGCCCATCAAGAGGGTGGTTTTTTTCACTTGAATCTTTTAATATTCATCACTTTCAGTGCTACTGCATTTATAATGTAGAAACCTTCCCCCTGGCACCCCATTTTGCCCCCAGATATACATTTGTTTACTGTTAGTTGGAAAGTGGATTGAGAGATTTGAATTTTCATTGCAAAGTGTTTGGAAATTTGTAACCCTGTTGGAAATCACAGCTACCAGCAGTTTTCCTCTGAATGGTCTTCTCAGATTTGAACAGCAGTCAGATGTCCATTACACCATTTCAATTGTTCTTCATTGTAGCGGCCTTTTTGTATTCTACTGTCCATTATAACTGGGATTTCAAGGTGTCAGTACCAGTCCTATTTGCTTTAGAATTTCAATACACATACTAAACTACATGTAATTAATAGTTAACACTTAGTCATGAAGCAGCTCTGGGGGAAAGAATGACTCTAAGTATTTTTTAAAAATGTTAAAGGTTTTCATTTCCATTACTCAAGTGAAGCATGCACAATAGAGCCTCTCAGAACAAGCTGACATGTTTGTTTCTGTTCTTCAAGGGATTTTACCACTACAGTCATCTTCCTTCTATGGTAGTAGGTCCTCATCAAAGGATTACTCCACTAGCAATTCCAACCTGGACAGGTAGGCATGGCTTTGTAACCTATACAAATGACACAGAGCTGCATTGCAGCGTCTTGGTAAATGCGCAAGAATTATAATGCCTAAATAGTAGATATATTCTACAAGTGAAAACTGTCTTTCTTCCTAACAATAATATACAAGTGACTCTCTAGAAGTGCTAAAAATTGCTATAGTTGGATACTAAACCCACGGGCCAGATCTGGCCTGCAGCACTGTCATCTAGCTTGCAGGTCCCCTCACAGATCTGGCAGTTTTGTAGCAGGGCAGTGAATTTCCAGACCCATGGAGAGCCCTGGGCCAACTGTGCTGGATCAGGCACCTGATCCCAACATTCAAGGCTGGGTGGGGTAGCACTAGGTCCCAGCACCCAATCCCAGCATGGAGGGGCAGCCCCAGGGCCCAATCCTGGTGTAGGAGGAGGCAACACCAGGCCCACTTCTGGTGTGGGGGGTCTGGGACACAGTGGCACTGGGGTTTCAGGACCCAATCCTGGCATGTGGGGCTCTGTCCAGCCTGCAGACCAACCCCATGCCACTCGTCTGGCTAGTAGGGCTAAAAGGTTGAGCATCACTGTGCTATAATAATACACTCAGACCTCATAGCCCACATGGGCCTTAATGTAATGTGGCCTAGGCAGACTTCCTAAAATCTCTGAAGCTATTTGTTTAAAGATTTTTCACATAGGATGTAAAGGGTACAGTGCACTGTGTTGGGGAGCTCTGCTGGAGGAATTAGTTTATCAGTGGAAATATGTGGGTACCCCTTCTGCATTTTGCTTCTTTGAACCCACTTCCACTTCATTGTTTGCAAGGGTTGGGAGGAATCTGACATCCAAAGCAAACTTGCAAGGAAGTGAAGTGGTTTGGCAGTCCAAGTGTTAGGCTTGAAATATTCAAAATCCCAGCACAGTCATATCAGCCCTTCGTCCTTCCTATCATGATAACCAAATGAGTAGTGTTTCAACAGCATCCAGGTTTGCAGTCCTGTGCTAAGCACAAGTCCAGTTACCTTTTTTGCTAATAGGGCAGACACAGAAGCCAGGAAGAAGGGAAAGTACTGTCCCCATTCTTGAGATGAGAAACTGAGGTATGGAGGGCTTGTTACTTGCTGAAAGGGTCACAGAGGCAGCAGAGTCATAAATTTTTAGATCACAGTCAGATTAAACTGGACCTCCTTAGTTGTGGTCTAGTGCTTTTACCACAGGACTGCTGCTCCTTCAAACAGCAAACTGGTCAAGTGAGACTGTAAAACCAAAGGGCATGTTTGTCTTGCCTGAACATCTGAGATTCAGAGGAGTTTTTCCATCAGAAAGGGGCTTACTTGGTGTCCTGGACAGAGTTTTTTCCTCCCAGCCATAGCTCACTGTTTTGCAGTATGCTGTCTTGTCCCCCTGACAGCTTCACTTCACTGGAAAGATGCTGCTCTTCCAGCAGTGAAACAAATCCTGTGTCACAAGCTACTACTGATGAAATGAGGTGCTTTCAAAAATTGACATTTTCCACTTTTTCCTTACTTAGGTCCAGCATGTCAAGTCAGGCACCCTCAGCCAAAAGAAGCTTGGGCTTTCTCTCTCAGCCAGCCCCTCTGTCCGTGAAAAAAATGAGGTCTAACCAAGACTACACAGGCTGGAACAAACTTCGAGTACCCCTTTCCACCCATCCGCAGCAACAGCTCCAAGGGTGAGTTTCAGCTGTGGTGTTGTTAGACATTTTTGTGTCATTGGGATGTGCACAAAGTGAAGGGTACTGGTTCCCCTACAAATGATTCTGCAGCTTTCTACAATCCATGAGAATTATGCTGAAAGAAGGAATATTTCCTAGATCAGGGGTTCTCAAACTGTGAGTTGCGATCCCCCACCAGGGGGCTGCGAGCAACTTAAAAGGGGGCTGCAAACTTCCCGGGCGGTACACGCGGCGGTGCAGGGAAGTGGTGCGCAGCGTGAAGTGGTGGATAGTGACTGCTGCGTGTGAGCTCCCCATCTGCCACCATCCGGCACTCAGAGTCACGGTATCACAAAGTTTGAGAACCTCTGTCCTATTGGGGAATTGAAATTTTTATATTATAAAGGTGTCGCAGTGAATCCTACCAACTTACTGAAGGAATGTGCTGCTTTGAAAACTTTTCTCCATACCAAATATAGGCAAATAGGTTAAAATGCCATGCACACCTACTTGTTAGAAATAGCCACCTATGCTATCCAAAATACATACGATGATACAGTCCCTGCTGTGAATAGCATACAGGTTAAATGAAAAACTGGACTGTTACAAGAGGAATCATGGCACCTATGACAGACAGCTGGGACTGTGAATGATGTGTTCATAATTCCCTGTTTCACTAATATCCTTTGTCCTTCTTTTCAGGTTTTCCAACTTGGGGAACACCTGCTACATGAATGCCATTTTGCAGTCCTTGTTTTCAATTCAGTCATTTGCTAATGATTTACTTAAGCAGGGCATCCCATGGAAGAAGATTCCACTCAATGCACTTATCAGGTAAAATTCATCTGCTGGGGTTGGCTAATTTCTCCTCTTGCTGGAAAACGAACTTAATTCCTCGGCACTGGGGTACGTTTGTAGAGCATGACACTTGAGCATGAGCAGATGACTCTTTATTCTGTAGCTGAAATATAGAAAGAAGAGACTAGGGTACGGTTCCTTTTATCTTTCTGAAATCCATCATCATTAGGCAATTTATATTGAGGGTCAGATTTTAACAACCTAAAGTGGGTGGACACATGAGGGAATTGTAGGCAGCTGGGAGGTCTCTCTGAGTATCCTGTCCTGGTCACAGACCAACTCACATGCTTCAGCAAAGATTTCAGGTTCCTTCTTTCTAGATAACTTCCCGATTTAAAAAAAAAAAAAAAAAAATGTTTCTTCCTATCTTGAGGCAGGTGCTGATTGGTTTATGATCTGCCTCGAGAGGCTTTAATGCCTTTGCGTTCTACTTCCTGTCACGAAATGATTTTTATCTGATCTCTTTTTAAACTTTGCTGAGTTCTTGCTTGGCTTCTACATTGCGTACAGAGAGTCCTGCAGGCTTACATGCTTATGTCAAACAGTGTTTCCTCTTATCTGCTGCCTACCATTGCCTTTCAGATTTCATTACCTACCCCATTTTTCTTACCAGAGAGATCAAGTGCTACTTGCCTCAGTTTGTCTGTCCTGCTCAGTATTCTGCTTTCAGCCTTTCTTTTCTCCTGTCATCAAACAGTTCTGACCTTTTCTTCCATGGAAATTGTTTGTTTCTGATGGTAGCGAAAGAGTGATGTAACCGTGATGGTCCAGAAAGGATTTCTTAGGGTGATGCCTTTTATTGGACCAATTTTATAGCTGGGAGAGAAACAAGCTTTTGAAAGCAAGGCTTTCTTCATTGCATCATATATATACGTCTTCTGTTCAAAAGCTTGTCTAACTCTTTCACAACTGTACAGTAGGTCCAAGAAAATAGATCACTGTAAAAAATCCTTGCCTCTCACATAAAAGCCACATGCATGAAACATATGTTTCCTGTCTCTGGTTTCTTTCTGTTTCTGGATATATCTTTCTTGAAGTCTGTGAACTCTTCCTACACTGTTTAGACTTGGAAGTTGTTCCATATGCCTTTTTGAAATATCCCCTCCTCAGTATTTGCAATAAGGCTTCTATAGCTGGTGCTAATTGTCTGGGCAACTCTGTGGGTGAATCTTGTGACCCACTGGCTGTTCCAAAGGGGGTGGGAAGTAGGGGGGGGGCTGATCTAGTCCTTAAGTACAACAGAACACGCTAATTGCTCCATAGCACTTGTCTTTAATGATATTGCTTTGTTTCATGCAAAATATCCACATCCCTTGTTAAATGAAAAATCCTAGTTTTCTTTCCTTATTGGAATAATGGGCATGTGACTGAGGGGGGTGGTTTTCTCCTTATCTAGGGGTGATGGTTAGATATTTTTTTTCACTTTGAAAGCATTACACGTGAGGGAATCTTCCCGTTGTGAAAGTGATTAGATTATGGTAATCAGGAGGAGGAAAGAGCAGTTTCACCAGTGGCTTATTAATAAGGTTGCCAAGAATGATTTTATGTAGATTGAAAGAAGAAACTCTTGAGTTTCTCTGGCCTCTTGAGTTAGTTTTATAACTGCTGTATGTTGCAACGTGATTGCAAAAAAAATAAGACAGCACTGAGTGGAATTGACATTTACAAAAGTTTTTTATTGGCTCTGAGAATTAAGGTTAAGTACTCAGGTTGCTTGTTTTGATGTCATCTGATTTCATAAGTAATTTAACATAACGCACTTTTCTGTTGGTGGTTACTTAGAAGACTGTTTGAATCCCACTGAAAACATGGCATGAGGTCTTACATTTTAAAATACCTGAAACACAAAGAGAGCGTCTGTTTCCCGGTGCCTGAGCAATTTTTATACCATCCAACCCCTCTATCATCCCCCAGTAGAAAACAGGCAGCATGAACATTTTCACGGTTAGAAATCTTGAGGTTTGCTGTACCTGTCCAAAACTTTGGAAAGCCAACCGACCTTTCATTGCATTAATTTCTCCAGACGCTTTGCCCATCTGCTTGCTAAAAAGGATGTGTGCAGCCCTGAGGTAAAGAAAGAGCTGCTCAAGAAGGTGAAAAGTGCCATTTCGGCTACCGCAGAGAGATTTTCTGGTTACATGCAGAATGTAAGTGCTCTGTCTTCTAGGAATCATTTATATGCATTGTGCATTGAGTTAGGAATTGCTTTTGACTGAATTGGGGCCCCCTGGAAGCTTATTGCTTGCGATTTTAGTTGTTAATTTAAAGAAATGACTGCCCATTTGCTTTGTAGTTGTATTAGATCTCTCACTTGATCCTATCTAAGTCGGTGGCGGTCAGTCTATATGGGTTTTTTTTTTCTCTCTCTTGTGCATATTTATACATGTATATATTAAAGTTTGAGAGCGTACACTCATTGGCTTAAATGACTGGATGCATTTGTACCATTTCCAGGATGCCCATGAGTTCTTGAGCCAGTGCTTGGATCAGCTGAAGGAAGACATGGAAAAGCTAAATAAAACTTGGAAGAGCGAGCCTGCACTGAGTGAAGACAACTCCCCAGGACGGGCTTCCGATGCCCTCTCGGCTACCAAAGTTTACACTTGTCCAGTTATCACTAACTTAGAGTTTGAGGTTCAGCATTCAATCATATGTAAAGTGTAAGTTGATTTAAGAAGTCTCTCATTTTAGGAGGAAAGTGTTCTTATTCTGTGACCTCTTTGGTCGCCCACAGGCCAACATCCAAGGCTAGAACTAAGCAGGCTTTCCCTCCACCTTCCCACATATACAAGATGAACAGAAATAAAGATCTTCAAAGTGCTTGATGCAGCCTGCATAGGGCAATATGTCCAGTGTGAGTACACTTGAGAACAAACCTTGTCCCACGCTGCTCTCTTCCGTTAAACTCTTTTTGAAGCAGGCTGCTAGCTTTTAATTCTATTTATGAAAATTTGGTGTAAAAACTTCCTTGCTTCCCAGTCTGTGACTCCTACACCAGATCAAGGCTTTACAGCAAGGGGATCACTGAAACTAGATCTCCTTCCAGAACAGGGAAGGCCATATTTTTTCTGTCTCTCTCTTTATGGGTTTTTACAGGGAAAGGACCCTTCCTGTGGTTTCTGTAATGATCAGTTGGGTATGTTGAATCTGCGTATCTGCCTGGTCATTTGCTGTCCCTGGACAATGCCATCCATGGTTGGCACTTGGTTAGTTGGTTGGGTGCTTTGTGGAGGTTTCATACGCGCTATTGTGCAGTTCATGTTGAACGGGTGTATTAAATCGTGCACTTAAAATAATTGCAGGCTGGTTCATATGCAACTTGGCATCAGACAAATTAATTGGGTTCTAGATTTTCTAGCAGGAAAATTCATGCCTAAAAGCATCTTCTGGATTTCTTCCTGCTCCTCCTCCAAAAATGAGCTGCTGCTTTTCCCTGAAAGAAGGATGGGTACAAGTGGAGGTTTTCTTCAACTATGCCACCAGCTGCTTTGATTTCCTATGTGACAGATCGCTGGGCTACTCCAAAATAATTCTGTGGGGTCTGTCCTTGTGTTTGTTCTCAAATTGTTGCTCATGTGATATTTTATACTTCAAAGCCAAGTTCCCCAAATCCAACAGTAAGCTCTTACAAATCAGTGACACACCATCGTCCTGAGGAGTTGAATCAGAATAGTACTTCTTTTTGGGGAAAGGTTAGTTGCACCATGTCAGTTCTGAGAGCTTTCAGGCTTGCTTTAGACTAAGAATGATGTCTCTTTCTGTTACAGGTGTGGTGAAACGGTCATTAAACGTGAACAATTTAACGATTTGTCCATTGACCTTCCTCGAAGAAAGAAGTTTCTTCCTTCCCGGTCCATTCAGGATTCCCTCGATCTCTTTTTTAGGGTATGTAATACTACTGTTCATCTCAGTACATGTACATACCCACATATGCGCATGCTCTCACCCCACCTACTGCATAGCTGAAACTAACAGGACTCAATTCTGCATTTTTGCTAAAAATGAGAGAGAGGGTGTTTCTTGCACCACGCTTACTGGGCCTTTCTAACAGGGGATGAAGGCATGAAATACATGAGCTTGCACTCCTTTGTGGAGATTGCAGTGAGACGTCCTGTACATTAGTTGTGTTCAAAGTGTTGCATAGACAATATCTGAGCTTTGCAGTGCTCCTGACACTTTACAACAGTGTTTAGTGTTTACCCCCTTGTAGAGTGGTAGGGCAGTAGACAGGCAGGGAGGAGCATGAGCCTGCATGTATCTCCTCCTTCAGAAGATCTCACAGCACCCCAGGGTGCCCTAGAGCCCTAGCTGAGAATCACTAGCATATGTCAGAAAGAGATCTTGGAGTCGTTATAGACTCCAAGATGAACATGGGCCGACAATGCGAGGTCATGGTTGGCAGGGCTAACCGGACCTTGTCATGCATCCACAAGTGCATCTCGAGTAGAGCCAAGGAGGTGATCCTCCCCCTCTACGCGACGCTGGTCAGGCCACAGCTGGAGTATTGTGTCCAGTTCTGTGCGCCACATTTCA